ACAGGTGCTGAGCCACAACTCAGTTTCTGAGGCAAGTCTAGATACATATTGTAGATGCTCAAGGTAAAACTTAAAACCAATGACAATTATGATTCACTTCATCAGAATTTCTATGTGATTGCCTTCACCTTTCTCATTCATTAAATACATTATTAGAACCCTAATATTGATGTGAATGTTGCTAGAATGTTAAGGAAAGGTCTTATTTCCCCATCTAGGAGATGGAAACAATTTTGTAATCATTTAAAATAGAGGAAGAAGAAGAAAAAGAAAAAGAAGAAGACAGGTGACAACATAAATTTTTGCATGTCCTACAACATTTATATAGTATCCAGGACATAATGAACATTGATGTTTACTAATTAATGAATCAATATTCCAGATATTAAGTTCAAAATTAATGGGAGAAAAATGATTATCAATATGTGAACAATCTAAGAAGTGACTACATGAAAGGTGCCTCCCTCCCTAAAAGATTATGACTGAGGAAAAACAGCAACGTATATAACATATGATTTTGTATAGTACAGAGAATAACTAAAATATGTACTAAGTTTCAAATAAAATAATCTAAAGACTTATTTATAATTTTATACTCACACAGAGGCAGCTAACCAGACTAGACAAGTTGACATATCGTGGAGCAAACATATGAAGCTGCTGAAGGCAAGAGATGGCCTGTGCTTGAACAAGGCAGTTTGGGTTATCCTGCATCACTGCACAACCCAACAGACAGGAAGTCCTGAAGGTAGAAACTGAGGTACTATTACCTAAATTAAAAAGCAGAAAGCTTTTAATAATTGGCCTATATAATCACTATTCTTTAAACATACATTATTGGGTTTTAAAATTTACTGCCAGTTGTAAACTTACAGATCTATGAAAAACAATTTCTACTAAAAAAGCAGAAATAATCTGGGTAACAGAGTTTAGATTACTTATTATTAATCTGAAAGTTTTATTACAACATAAATCATTAGGCAAAGAAGAATCTAAGACCATGCCGGGCATGGTGGATTGCCTGATCTCAGAAGTTGGAGACCAGTCTGAGCAAGAGTGAGACCCTGTCTCTAAAACAATAGTTGGGTAGCTCAAACTCTTGGGCTCAAAGCAATCCTCTTGCCTCAGCTGCCCAAGTAGCTGAGACTGGCCTAGTTTATCTATTTTTAGTTAAATAGTTATCTATTTTTAGTATTGATAGGGATCTCCTCTTGCTTAGTCTGCTCTTGAACTCCTGAGCTCAAGCAAACTACCCACCTCGGCCTTCCAGAGTGCTAGGATTACAGGCATGATGTACCAAGCCAGGCCTTACCTAATCTTTGTCTTCTCAAGGTGAAGAGAAATCCGATTGAATGGCATTCATCCATTCATTTAACAAAACATACGGAACACCTACCATAGGCCAAGCAAAGAGACTAGGAACCGAATTCATCTTTACGTGTATACTTTTTTTTTTTTTTTTT